TTCACCAAGCTTCTTCCTTCCCCCTCTCTCAGACTTGTCTCAAAATTCCACCATGTGACATAACTTTCCCCTGCAGTGGAGGAAAAAGAATTTTTCCTCTGCTCTTCTAAGTACTTCTGACTGGTCTAATAATCAAATTGACATGAGGCAGATCAACAGGAGAAAATAACCAAATTTGGACTTCTGGTCAAGACTGAGACAGACTGGGCAGGTGAGGCAGCAGCTGGCAGACCGGGTGGTCCTACATTCTGTGCAGATAAACCAGGAAGAAAACTGAGGAGTGAGACAGATCGCAACCCAGGGCTCCAGCGCAGGAACCTCTGGCTGTAAAACCTCAAAACCTCTGGCTGTAAAAACCTGTGGGGTTTGCAGTGGTGGGAGAGACTCCCAGCCTCACAGGAGAGTCTGTTGGAGAGATCCATGGAGTTCTAGAATATACACAAACCCACCCACCTCAGATCAGCACCAGCAGGGCCCAGTTTGTGGGGAAGCAGGGGAAGTGACTGAAAGCTGGCTGAGAGCCGAGCAAGTGGCATTGTTCCCTCTCTGACCCCCTCCCCCACATACAGCATCACAATGCAATGACTTGGGTTGCCCTGCCCTGATGAATACTTAAGGCCCCACCTCTTACAACCTAACCCTTGGTGCCCCAAGACAAAGAAATATGGCCCAAATGAAAGAACAGATCAAAACTCCAGAAAAAGAACTATACAACGAGGAGATAGCCAACCTATCAGATGCAGAGTTCAAAACACTGGTAATCAGGATGCTCACAGAAATGATTGAGTACAGTTGCAAAATAGAGGAAAAAATGAAGGCTATGCAAAATGAAATAAAGAAAAATATACAGGGAACGAACAGTGAGGGGAGGGAAACTGGTGCTAAAATTGACAATTTGGAGCAGAAGGAAGAAATAAACATTTAACTGGAACAGAATGCATAAAAAAGGAATTTAAAAAATCGAGGAGAGGTTTAGGAACCTCGGGGACAACTTTAAATGTCCCAACATCTGAATCATAGGGGTGCCAGAAGGAGAAGAGGGAAAGCAAGAAATAGAAAATTTAGTTGGAAAATAATGAAGGAAAACTTGCCCAGTCTGGAAAAGGAAATAGACTTCCAGAAAGTCCAGGAAGCGCAGAGTCCTAAAGAAATTGGACCCAAGGAGGAACACACCAAGACACATCATCATTACATTACCCAAAATTAAAGATAAGGAGAGAATCTTAAAAGCAGCAGGACACAGTTACCTACAAAAGAGTTCCCATAAGAATATCAGCTGGTTTCTCAAAAGAAGCCTTACAGGTAAGAAGGTGCTGGAAAGAAGTATTCAAAGTCATGAAAAGCAAGGCCCTACATCCAAGATTACTCTACGCAGCAAAGCTGTCATTTAGAATGGAAGGGCAGATAAAGGGCTTCCCAGATTAGGTCAAGTTAAAGGAGTTCATCACCAGCAAGTCCTTAGTATATGAAATGTTGGAAGGACTTCTCTGAGAAAAAGAAGATCAAAACTATGAACAGTAAAATGACAACAAACTAACTATCAACAACTGAACCTAAAAACAAGCAAAAGAAAAAAGAAAAAACCTAAGCAAACAACTAAAACAGGAACAGAATCAGAGAAATGGAGATCAGAGGGGAGGGGAGGAGGCAGAATGGGGGAAAAGGTACAGGGAATAAGAAGCGTGAGCTGTAGGTACAAAGCAGACAGGGGGAGGTTAAGAATAGTACAGGAAATGGAGAAGCCAAAGAACTTATACGTATGACCCAAGGGCATGAACTAAGGGGGTGGGGAATGGGGGTGGGAGGGGGCTGTGGGGAGAAGGGGGAGAAAGGGGAGAAAAAAATGGGACAACTCTAGTGGCATAATCAATAAAATATACTTAAAAAAGAAAATAACGAAATTCATTACATACATACATATGGGGGTTCCACAAGAACATGGGACTGAGGACAAATCAGGAGTAGAGGCATCTGTGCCATTGCAGACGGACACAGGAGTGGGAGGCAGGGGCCTGGGACTTCAAAGGGAAAGCAGGTAATTCACGGGCGATGAGAAAGCAGACACGTAAACAAATTCTTACTGGTGCACCCGAAACAAAGGTACACAAAGGGGAGTCTTACAGCAAACGGGCTTTGTTGGATTCCTCTCTGTTTTTATTACACTGAGTTCTTTCTATCTGAATCCCTTTAAACAAGTAAGGGGGCGGGTCAAAGCTTCTTTCTGAGTCTTTTGTTTCTTAAAAATAACCAGCTTGCCTTAACCCATGTGGCTCAGTGGGTTGGCCATCGTCCTGTGGACTGAAAGGTACCTGGTTCGATTCCCGGTGAGGGCACAAGCCTGGGATGCAGGCCTGATCCCTGATTAGGGGTGTGAGAGAGGGAACTGACTAATGTTTCTTTTCCTCTCTTTCTCCCTCCCTTCCCTTTGCTCTAAAAATAAATAAATAATCTTTAAAAAAAGGGAAAGTCTTTAAAACATAAAAAAGTAAAAATAACCAGCTTAAAATAATCAATGTCCCCAGAAAGCCTATTTTGGGCTGGCAAATTCTGCTTCCCTCCACCCATCACAGCATTAAGATAGTAACAGGGTCTTGCTGCTGCTCCGGTGCCGGTCACTGTCTCAGGCAATGTCAAAAAGTAAATGAGCGGTCCTGTCTCTGTCCTCATTAAGTGCTCCTTAAATCCACCAGTTGCTAGCCATGCTTCTGGGTCATTCCCTGTGAAGCCTTCCCCAAATGCGCCTGCTCTTGGGATTTCGTCCCTCCTTTCCCCCTCTGCCTCTGAGAGTAAGACCCTTGCAGAGTGGCAGCCAGGAGGGTGTGGCCAGACAGCTTCTCAGCTGTGTTCCTGAGAGTGCGGCACACAGGCTAAGTGTAGGGGTTACGGAGCCCAGCTGCCTGGGTTCGAATCCAGGCTCCGCTTTAGTCTTGCTACCTGTAAGACGGTAGCATAGCAGGAACCGCTTCTCATGATTGCTGGCTGAGTTTGTTGACTAATCTGTCAACTGCCTGACAGTGTGTGGTCCCTAGTAAGTGCACGGTGCACACAGCACAGCGCACTCCTGCACGCAGACGCTGGACGCGGAGTGGGAAGCTGGAGGGGTTGCTCAGTGGGTCTCCGGTCACCCTGCCTGGGCCAGAGCAGAGGGGTAATTAACATCTGTAGACCATTGGTTGCCTTGAGAGGACAGAAGAGATGACAGAGGGGATGAAAAGGGACACACTGTAGTCTCCGTCTTAAATCCAGCCTCAACCGCCAACGGCTCTGCTTGGTCACCCTCAGTGGGTCCAGCTGCCCATTCTGGTGCATTGTGGGGACTTTCTTGAGTATATTCTTGTCCAGAGAGCTTGCCCTCGCTGCTCCCATGAACTGTTGTGCTTAGTTATTTGGTTTATTGCCCGTTTTCCCCACTAGAATGGGAGCCACACGAGGGCAGAACTTCTTGTCTGTTGTATTCACTGCTCTGCTGCCTCAGCCTAAATGGCACTTGGCACTTAGTAGGTGTTCAACAAAACTGTGTGGAGCCGAGTGTATATGTGTCCCATGTAATGGCTGTCCACAGGCTTTAATGTAAGTACTTGTTCAAATAAGAAACGTGGCGTCCACAGACCCAACAGGCAGGCAGGGCAGTGAGGGAGGGGTTCTAAGGGGTCAAGAGGGCCTGGCTGGGATACGGATCGTGTGTGCTGGTGGCCTGGTGGAGGAGGGACTCAGGAAGGGCCAGAACAGGGCAGGTGGTCAGGGTGGATTTCACAACGTAGTGCCTCCCTCCCGGCCCCTCACCCTGGCTTCACCCAGCTTGGTCTCATCCATGTCCAGCCGTCAGATGATTTTGCCAGTCGCCTCTTTGTCCACATCCACATCTGCCCATGAGCCTACAGATAATCGCCACTGTCCACAGGACAAAGTTCACAGCCTTTACCCTGGCATGCAAATCCTCCAACCTTTTACCTCCAAATACCTCCCCAGCATTCCCTCCCTCTGCAGCCCTGCATGAACTTGCTCTCGCTGCAAAACTGGTCTTCCCTTGCTTTATCAGAACATACCTTTCTCCATCTTTCCCCAGGGGCCTTTGGGTGTAGCACATCTTCCCCAACCTCCCCAGACCGTCTTAACCCTACTTTCCTTACACAAGACCTGCCTGGTTTTCAAGATCCAACTCAGGTCTCACCTGCTTGGAGTGGGTGTTGGGGGAAGGGATGTTCCCTGACATTTTTGGGATAGGACTTCTTCCTAGACATGCACCACCTACAGCCACCCTCTAGCTCCTGGCACCAACTTCATTGTGGGGACAGGTATCGTCACACGCACGGTGTATCGCACGTGCGGCTAAGTTGACATCCCTTTGCTTTCCCCACTAGCTTCAGGCAGGTGCCTCTTTCAGACTGCGGGGCACCCTTGTGGGCGTGGGACTTCTGGCCTCTGAAGCATGCTCCCCTGCAATCAAATACTGCCCCCGGTTCATCCCACTAACCAAGTGTTTGGCCTACACCCGTGGCCGCCTGGCCCTGTCGACCTTCCCACTTCCTTTGGTCTTGGGCGGTTGCTCTTGGGCGGTTGCTCTTGGGCGGTTGCTCTTGGGCATGTGGGATCGGCCCGCCTGTGCGTCGGCCCATCCTTGCAGCCCTGCTCTTCATGGGGCACGGCCCACAGCCCCTGCCCTGGCCCCCGTCTCTTCTCAAGGCCATCTGGCCCCTGGCGTCTGGGTGGTGACATTTCAGGATGACTTTTCTTTGCTGTGCAGCCGATGTTGGCTGCTGTGAGGGGAGAGACTCCCTTCTCTCTCCTGCTGTCCTTTGTGCCTTTTCCTGGGACGCTTACCCAGAGGACACTCGAGAGAGACCCACCGTGGCGACGGTGGCAGTGGCCATCTCCCAGGGGGCCACACCGTGAAGCTATGCGCATCTTCAACCCTCTGACCCAGCTCCAAGATCCAAGGAGACTGTGGAACGAGTGGGTGAAATGGAGTCCACCCTCCTTGTAAGCATTGCTCCCGAGTGTTCACAAAACCCAAGGCCAACTTTATTAGGATCTTTGTCCCCTGGTGGACTGGTCCTCACGTCAGCCCACAGCGCGGGCTGGTGCCGACCTTCCTGTTTGTCTGGCAGGGGAGAGACAAGGCAGCCCCCAGCCTCCCACCATGTCACCCCGCAGCCGGGTTGATGACTTTTCCCAGGAAGAGCAGGCTGTGCGTGGTCACCTCCCATAGCAGCACCAGGAAAGGCCTGTTGAAATGGGCCTGTGGGGCCGAGGTCGCGTTCAGAGCCGGGGGCTGGGAGAGGAGGCCCGAGGCAGCGCCTGCCTTGGTTCCCCGCTCGCTCATGCCCATTGCTGCCTTGTGTGACACCTAGGAGTAGAAAAGAGGGCAGAGACAGCTCAGAACACTTCGGCAAGGGGACAGGTTCCACCTTGTGTGACACTAAAGAAAGGAGGGCTGCGTCCTCCCTTTTCAGGCCTCAAGGCCCCACCTTCCAAGAAAGCAATTGCAGCCTTTGTGTGACTTTCCTCCTCTCCCCGTCTTTCCTCCTCTGTCCTGTTCAGGGCCCACCCTGAGGGTGCGTTTGCTGCTCGATGTGGGGACCGGTGAGCCAGGGTGTGGCTGAGGGCCGCTGGGCACGCACCCGGCTGCAGAAGCCCTTTCTCAAGCCCCCGGGCACCCATGGCGCAGGCCGAGTGCCACCCGCCACCGCGCGCTGCGCTCGCTCTCTCTAAGCCTCAGCTTTCTCATCTCTGAAATGCCTTGCTCAGCCTCCATCGACGGTTAAAATGAGTGGGGGGTGGAGGGGGAACCGCTGCCTGTCGTGCCGGGCCCTCTAACCTCCGTAGCCCTAACGCAGGCAGGTGGAGGCGCGCTGCCTGTCCTAGGAAGAAGTACAAGGAAAGAAAAGTACAAAGCTAGTCCCACACCTGGGGACATATGGCTTTGCAGATGACGCCAGATATGTGTGTGCTCTATTCAGGACCCTGCGTCCTTGCTCTGAAGAACGTGTGGGGTGGGGGCAGGGAAAGGACGCTGCTCAGGAGAAGGAGCCTTAAGGGTTGTGGTACTAAAGAACCAGAGTAGGACAAAGAGAGGGAAACTTGACTTTCAAATATGAACTTTATATCGAAGGAGAAAAGACAGCCCTCCCACTCGCACCTCCCCCTCCCCCGCCTTACCCTGGAGATGGTTTTGTTGGGCCGTCCAGTGATTCCTGATAACAAGCTAGCTTCTAACGCGAACATGTCGGTGAGACCAATGTGGGAAAGGATTTCTCCCAGGTTATACGTCCCAGAGATGGAAAACCTTGGCAAATGCAAGTCCAACAGGCTGGAGAGAGAGTCAGACAGAGAAGGGGGGGCTGCCTCGTTATCCGTGCTCCTGCCATGGGCGCCGGTGGCCTGAGCTTCCCAGAGCAACGGGAACCAGCCTTCCCACAGCACTACCTGCTGTGCCAGAGCAGTCCACAGCCCGCACATTCCAGACCCCCTGTCTTCTGACTTTACAGACCTCTTGTGACGCTTCACAGGCCCCTTCCGATCTCTTGTGTCTGGAGCTGAGAAGACCCCTGGCCTTCATCTTGAGCACACTGAGGGAGGGCTTCCTAGATGCCCAGCCCTGGGCCAGGGATTTTACAGAGCATCCCTGACCAAATCCACGTAACACCACGTAGGGTCAATATTGTTACCGTTTTCCTGCCTCCATGTTGGACTCATCAGCAAGCTCCACTGGCCTGGCTACTGAGCTGTGTCTTAAATCCATCTACTGGCAACCCCCTCACACACGCCACCATCGCCTCTTCCCTGCCTGAGCCTCAAGGGGCTGATGAGGGATGGGGCCCGGGTCGCTAGAATCACTCGCTCTCCTGTTCCCGGCATCCTTTGACCAGCAGATCCCCCCATTTCCTGGGTTAGATTTGCGAGTTTCTTTGGAAGCAGAGCAAATCTGTCCTTTCCTTGTGGGGACTGTCCTTCTTAGTTATTGTCTGACAGTTACTAGGGCACCTGCAAGCCTGGCTAGTTAATAACCAGCTGGTAAACTTCTGCCTCTGAGGAATTCAGCTTAGAGACCCTAATTCAGGTTACAGAATGGCTCTCAGTTTAACTCATGGGTGCACTATGAGGGCCCAGATGCCTAAGCGCAGTGGGGGCCGTTGGAAGTGGGGGGTTAAACTGAGAAGAGGAGGAACCGGAGGTGGAGAGCTGGCCGAGAGCTGGCTGGCAGCCGTTGGAGGGCCGGCCCCATCCGGGAAGGGGCGTTGAGTGGAGTCTAGCAGAAGGGTACCGGGTGGGCAGCCCAACACAGAGTAGGTGTCCATCCAATGTGAATGGAGAATGAACAGTTGCCAGGAAGCATGATCTCCAGCTGGCTAATCTTCCTCACAGCTGAATGGAGGGAGGGAGGCCTGGCAGTCTGAGATTTTCACATCTTAAAGCCCATTGAAATGCTACTATCATATTATCATTCTGGCACAAGAAATATCTAAGCTTTAGAAAAGTAACTTGGGTTTGTTTTGCTTCTCGAAGGTAAGAGGCCAAAAGAGTCCCTGCTGGGAGAAAATGTATTGGTCTAGAAGATTCTACGATACTTCCTCATGAGAGGGGGAAGGGGCAGGCTCATCCCAAGGGAGTCTGAGACTCTGGGGTTTGAATCAGAAACTGACCAGAGCCATGTAGATTCACAGGTGACAGGGAAGCGTCCTTAGATCCTTACTTCCGCCCTTGACCTGCATCTCTTATTAAGCACTTGAATCTGCCCAAACGCAAACACACATTAGAGATGACCGCCAGGGGGAGGCTTTGTCCCCCTCCTCTAGAATCTGGTGGATTCTGTGACTGTTCTGACCCAAGGGACACGGCCGAGGGGATGTTTCCAAGCCGAGGCTGTAAGAGAGCAGCAGTTGGCACCTCCTGTGTGGTAGACCGCTCCTGGGAGCTCAGAGCTGCCGTGTGGCTATATGAACGATGTTGAGTCTCTGTGCAGAATAGGCGAGCTCTGCAGAGACGCTGCGTGGAGACAGAGATGCCTGCTCAGACCTCGGCTGTGACTGCCACCAGCTCAGGCACCAGACAGCAGGTGGAGGGGACCTCATGTCCCAGCCCCAGCCACCACCGACTCCAGCACACGAGGCACCTCCTGTCAGAGCCATCCAGCTAGGCTGGCCTGCTCCCAGAATCGAGAGAGGTAGCATATGTTTTTGCCAAGCCATTCCGTTTTGGGGTGGTTTGTTATGCAGCAAGAGGCAACTAGAACTCAAGGCCCGATTTCATCCCAGAGCACCCAGAAAGGAAGCCACTCCCCAAGAAGCAGCTGGCTCATGGAGGGGGCGTAGGCCAAGTGGAGCAAACTGAAACTACTGAGAGACGGCCACAAACTGAAAGCAAGCGAGCGAGAAGGGTTAGGACTGCGATCCCACCGGCCTGGCACTTTGATTTTACAGTGCTCTTCTTGTTTAATGGCTTTAAGACATGTTCTAATTGAAAAAAGATGCACTTTTAAGAAATATACACTGTTCTGTGGGAGTCATACTTATTCTTAATGACTCTCCTGGGTCTGATTTTTTTTTTCCGCCTCCCTTAACTACCTTCTGGTCGTATATTATGATTTGGACAAAGGGAGAAGCCAGAGGAGAGGAGGCTGGGCAGGAAGGCGCTGGAGGGCTGGTGATGTTTCATACCTGGTGAGCCCTTCTCACGCACCAGGCCAGCCCTCCATGTGCGTTTGCTCATTAATCCTCCAAACAACCCAACGTGGTGGTTGTCATGACAACCATTTACGGTAGTGGAGGGAGGAAATCTGAGGCACAAAAGGTACGTAAGTGGCCCAAGATCACAGTTGGCCAACCTAACCCGGGGGTTGGACTCCCGCAATTGGAGTTGATTAAGAACTGCTCGGGTCTTTGAACGAGGTCTGCCGGAGCCCTCTGGCCTTGACCCTCACCTGGGCCGGAGCAGCTGGCTCCATTTTCTCAGGGTCTCGGGCTGCAGCGCGGCCTCCACCTGCTCCATCTTGCCCGGGTCAGGGAGGATCAGCAGGGCCAGGGCGTTCCCGCTGAACTCTATCTGGAGGACGGTGCAGGTCATCTCCGGGTCGTAGAGGAACCTGTGCATCTCCTTCTGGTGCATCAGAGGGCTGCGGAGAGGGGTCCTCTCATTCACAAAGAAGCTGTCCTGCTTCTGGGTCTGGTAGCGATGGAAAGGATGCTTCCACTTGGCTTAGGACACAAAACCCAGAAAAGCATGAGAACACGCTCAGAGAGAGCCACTCTGCTTTGGTGACTTCCTCCGGGGTCTCTAAGTCTGAGGCACAGAAGTGGTACAGACACAGAATCGGGAGACCAGATTTAGGTCCCGGTCAGCCACCGGAGAAAGTCCCCAGAGTCTGAGCTCTAATGGCCTATGATTTTATTCCATTTCAGAGCAACTTCGCCTTCAAGAGATGAAAAGGTAGTATTTCTCTCTATTCTACTAAGCAGCTTCCATGGGCGAGGCATAATCTCTTTATATCTTCATCAAAATTAACAGTAAACAGGGGTTACAATCTCCACGTCAGACCTGAGAAGTCGAGTCCTCGCAAGCTTCCAGAAGCTCCCCCGCTTGCAGACCCTCCCGCAGCAGAGCAGGGATTGTGGCCTGACTCGGGCTCCGCCCTCGGGTTCTTTGCAAACACTGAGTCCACCTGTCTCTGCCCAGCTGCCTCTAGATAGCAATGGCCTTCAACGTGGAGTTGGAGGGCCACCCTCTACCTCCCAATTCCCCAATATTCAAACTGGAAAAAAAGAATTTAGTTAATAAAATGTAATATGTAAGGCAAAAGCCCACTAAGGCGTAGTTAGAAAGGCAGAATTTGGTGCTCACAGTCTTTTCCAAGGGTGTGCTATCTCCTCTCTCTCCACTTACAGTCTCCAACCACAACCCGTCCCGACTTGGCCTCTTGACAGCGCTGGTCTTGGCGGTGGGGGCGGGGCCCGGTTGAGCCTGTGCCTCCTGCCTGCACCCAGCCTGTGACCGCATTCGCCTGACCCTGTCTCCAAAGCTGCAGCTCTTTCCGAGACCACCTAAATGGTCTCTGCCTTCCGACCCTTAGTCCCCGCAAACCATTTTCCAAATTGTGGCCAGACCCATGTTTCTAAAAACAGAGGCCATGACGGTACTTCCCTGCTCCCACTGTTTGGGAGTCCTGGGGCCGCACGGGGAAAGTCTAGGATTCCCTGCACCCCTCTGCGCGCCTCGCCACTGTGGCTCCTGGCGCTCCCCGCAAGGCATCCCCTGGCGGGTTCTGTGTTCCAGCCAAGCGGACTTTGTCTCACCTCCCAGGATGCCACGGCATCTCTGTAGCTTGGACTGTGACACATGCCGGTGTTTCTACCCAACCACCTCCCCCTGCCTCTCCTGCAGCCGCTTGGCCTCATTCTGCACGTCCAGCTCAGACCCCGCCTCCTCCAGGGAGCCGGCCCCACCTCCGAAGTCTGGGTCAGTGTCCCTAGAACTCCCTGGCACCCGCCCCTCCTCAAGCACAGCATCATTTCCCCTCTGAGCAGTAACGGCCTTTTTACTTCACCACTCACGTGGGGCTGCGTGCTGCACAGGGCGGGAAAACGGCACGCTGCTCGCGAATCGCCCCACGGCCTCAGTCATGGGGAAACCTCCAGCAAAGCCCAGCCGATGGAGCTCCTACAACTGCCCGGCCAGCCTCCCTGCCAGCGGCCAAGGTCACTAAGCGCAAGGAGAGTGTGAGAAACCGTCCCAGGCAAAGGAGCCTGAGCTGACACGGCGACTACCTGTGATGTAGGTCCCGCAAGGGATCCTGGGATAGGAAAAACCTTAGGTAAAAAACTAAAAAAAGCCTGAATAAAGCATGGTCTTGCACATAATCCAGGAAATAATGGATGTGAAAAAAAGGGACCCTAAAGAATGTGGCATGTTCAATGCAACAGTCTGAATAATCTACATAAATTAAGCTACGGGAAGGACGCTAAGGGGGCGAGACATACATGCAAAGCAATACATACATGTGTGCGGAGCACTTTAGAACACATCAAGTACATTGCATAGGACTCTGTGGACGCTCTCAATGAGCTAACAGTGGGCACACACAGATGAGAGGGAGACGCACCGGCCCTAGGACAGAACCTGCCTCTGGGGAAGGATGGGAGGGAGGAATGGGGACCAGGGAGCATTAAAAAGGAATTGAATTAGTGTATGGTGGTTTTCTATTATTCTTTGTATATTTCTGTATGTTTGAAATAAATACTAATATTAAAAAGTGAAATACTTTGCTAAAATTGAACTATTAATAGAAAAGTGAGATTGAGTAGTGGAACCAAGTATCGATCAGTCATGAAGCGGGGATACAAGGACATTGTTTAACTACGAAGGGGCGACTGCCAAAGGAAACAGCCGTGAGACCGAAGACAGGGCCTTTCAGGGGCAGGGCCGGGGTGGTGGAGGGGGCAGTAGTTCCGCCCGGGGCAGTAGTTCTGCCCGGGGCAGCACGCACCTTTGAAGAAGATGTAGTTCAAGAGAACCATGAGCGTATCCTCGGTGAGCTCCGGGAGGCCGTCCACCACCTGCCCGTATGTTTGCTTTCTCACATAGTCGTTGATATGCCTCCTGGTTGTAGCAGAATCAGTGAAGTTGGCAGAAAAAGCCAGAGCTCCGTACAGCTCCCTGACCCTGTCCAGAAAGCTCTGCCGAGGCCTCAGCTGCTTGTCCAGGAACAGGGAGTTGCCAACTTTCAGCTCCAGTTTGGGGCTGGGCAGGTCAAGGGTGCGGAGCAGGCTCTGGAAGCCCTGGTGGATGTCGGCCTGCGGGGTCTCCGTGAGGTTGAAGCCCAGGCCCCTCAGGATCTGAGCTGATGTGCCAGCTGGGGTCCCGAGAGAGAGGAGGGCCAGGGTGGTGGAGATGCTCACCGGGGAGAAGCAGATGTTTCCCGGGGTTCCCGCCGCCAGCTGCTTATACAAACGCAAAGCGAAGCTGGTAATGGTGGGTGTGACTTGGCGGTAGGCAGGGGCCAGCTCTGGGAGCGGACCACTGGGCGCTGGTGGCAGCCCCGGACCCGCATCTCCATGGGCAGAAGCCAGGATCCCTGCTCCCAGCAGCCACAGCCACGCCGGCCCCATCCTCTGCAAACAAGAGGTTGAACACGTCACTCTAAGTGGCATTGCAGCTCCCGCTGCTTACACACCAAACCTCACATCCAGATTGTATCCCAAGGGTGTCACGAGGGGCCCTGCAGGGGGTGTATGGGGTGAGCAGGCCGGGCTCCGGACCCCGTGCCTCAGGGCCTCAGTCCCAGCGGCGGCCCTTTGTCTGCTTCACACATCGCTACGTCTATAAGACGTTGTTGGGAAAAGGACTCTGGGCTACAGAAACAGCTTCCACGGCCTGTTTTCCCTGCATCTGTCCTTCCTTCCTCCCGCCCTCCGACCCTCCCTTCCTTCCTCCTTCCCTTTCTTTTATCTTTCTTCTTTCCAGTCATTCTGTCAATCGTGCATTAAAGTTTCAAAAATCGGGATGATGTTCAAAACTCTGGAGCACAAGTTCAGGACCCTGTGGCAGTGAGGGTTGCTGGGTCTCCCTTGCACCTGTGCGTGGCCTTGCCAGTCGGAGGGGAGAGGATGGCGTGAGCGGGGACAGGCCCTCAGGGAGGGCGGCGTGACCTCTGCACTGTGGTCCTCCGCAGCTGGGGCGTGGCCATCACGGTCAGCCCCAGGGACCTCGCGGGTGAGGGTGACCCCTGAGAGATGGCAAAGCCAGAGACGGATGGAGCCCAGGGGTGGGCAGGAGACGAGAGATCAAGTCTGCCTCCATCAAACTGGTCATCTCTAGCTCCTCTTGTCACATGCAGTGGCTTAAACTGTATCTTAATTGAGGCAGAGAGTTGGGAAAGATTTCTGTTATGGGTTGAGTTGTGCCTCCCCCCACCCCAAATTCACATGCCGAAGACCTTGTCCCCACTATCTCAGAGTGCAATCTTGTTTGGAAATGGGGTCATCGAGATGTAGTTAGTTAAGATGAGGTCATTAGATGGGCCCTGATCCAATAGGACTGGCGTCCTTATAAAAAGGGGACACGTGGATCCAGACATGCACCAGGAGAATGCCACGTGAGACGAAGGCAGACATCTACGAGCCACGGAAGCGAAAGGTCTGGGCGAGCCCCCGGGAACTCAGGGGGCAGCCTGGACCGGCCGTCCCTCCGCCTCAGAAGGGACAGCCCTGCCGACGCCTTGACCCTGGACTTCAGCCTCCAGAACCAGGAGAGAACGGATTTCTGTTGCTGAAGCTGCCCAGTCTGTGGCACGTTGCAATGACAGTGTGTGGCACGTTGTGATGATAGCCCTAGGAAACTAACGGTGTCTCTTGTGCTTTAAGTTGTGCCTGTGCCGGGAGAGCCTTCACGCCACCCTGAGGGGTCAAAGGGGTGCAGAGCGAGAGGCCCCTTGCTTCGGGCCCAGGCGGCAGCTCAGCTTGAGGTGAAACTGCGGTGCAGACAAGGCCTGTCTCTGCTCGCCCCGCCCCTCCCTAGTGCCCCCCTTTCCCTCTCGGGGTCTCCCCACACCGCCCCCCCGCCCCGTGCTCACAGAGCACACGCCGCCACACTGCCACCCAAGACTCCCAGCACCCTTGCTGTCCCCAGTGAGGAGCGTGTCGTCTCCTGCTCCCTGCAGAACTGACACCCCTCTGTCCCATCCCACAGTGGCTGTTCACTGCTGACCACTCTCTGCGTCCCTCTGTCCTGACAACGCTTCTGTCTTAACGAGCACCTTCAATTCCTTTTGCCCAAACCGGTGGCCTCTGGGCCGGTCACAAACACCATGGAAGTGAGGGAGAGGCCACTTTTTTGCAGATGGTTGTGGTGCCGGGTGCTCCAAACCCCCCACCGAGCCCCGAAGGCCAGCTGTCAGGAGGGGTGGCCGAAACCTCGCTATCGGTTATGTCGAAAGTCGTTTGCTGGTCAAAGTACCGCAGGTGGTTTCCCAAGGCCACAAGCCCCCTTCCTCCACCATAGCTCACTGTGGGCTTGCTCAGCAACCCTTTCCATTCCCCTTGGACTTTTTTCTGAGGGGGCTTGGGAAGAAGCAGAGCAGTTTAAAAATTGGTCTGCCTCTGGGGAAAATAAGACATACACAACGAAACTGCCTCTGACTTACTCCGTCCGTCCCATTGAGTTTGCCACCGTCTTCTGCCTGCTGCGCACGAAGCGGCCCCAGGCTCCCCCAAGAGTCCCGCTCCTGAAGGGGACTGACCTGTGAGTGGGGGCCGGGGCTTGAAGCGAGGCGCTGGAGCCACTCACCGTGCCATACTCTGCGAGGGGACCTCTCTGAGCGGCCGTGCCCCCGTTTCAAAATGCAGGTGATAATGCCCACCTCTGCGGGCGGGACTACCAGCCTCACCCCGTGGGAGGCCCCCGTGTAGGGAGCGTGGGCGATGCCAGCATTCGCCCGCCCCTTTCTCCCGAGGCTGGGGTGCAATTCTGTCCCATTTCTTTCTTTCTTCCTCTTCCAGAAAGATCCCAGGGGAAAAGTAAGGATTCTACAAATAATTATAATATTCTCATTTATGGTTTATTTTGTGGTGGGGGTATTAGATATACTGTATCACTGGTCCCCAACCAGAGAGGCTCGAAGCCCTGGAAATGCCTGACCGGTCGTCATAAGTGATGAAGAATGGTCCTGCCCACGGGCCTCCTGTTGAGAAAGACTTGCTTCATGTCATTTAATTAGATCCTATGCGAACCTTCAGCCACAGGTTTGATGGTCCCTGTTGTACATATGGAAAAACTCGCTTGGGGGGAGCGTGATCCAAAGTCTAGACCAGGGCTCTGAAGACCCTTTTCACATAACAGTTTCTGGTAAAGTTGCTACAACAATGTTGTCATTTTGCTTTGGGTTGTAGTGTTGCTTTCTTGTCTAACTGCCAGGAATACTGGAAGCCCCCTTCTCAAAATTTTTGAAGAACAAGTTCTTTTCACACCAGGTTATTAAAAACCTGAAGTTCCTACTGCAAGCCTTAGAAGCAGTGCGTCATGACATTTTTCCTTGAGGGGACTCAGTTCTCCCATCCTTGCTGCCGAACCCAGAGAGAGAGAGAAAGAGAGAGAGAGAGAGAGAGAGAGACAGCCCCCACCCTGCCTTTGCTGCGGTGTAAGCGCGTACTCACAGCGAGGAGCCTGGGCTTTGTCCTGGGTCTTCAGCACCACATCGCCTCTGGCCCACAGAGAACGGTGTTTGAAGACCACAGCAGCCTAGTCAATATTTGTCAGGTCAGTTCCTGGAACTGGTATGCAGACAATGCACAGCAAACAGGGAGGGACCTGATTTTCCAAGTACCTGCCCTGCCTGCCTGCCCTGCGCACAGTGAGTTATGACCCTGGGCCCAGTCGGGTTTGAGCAGATCCTGACATCAGTGCAGATGGCAGGGCGTCGTAACGCGGCTGCTGTCGATCCTTTGGGCACTTTGTGTGTTCCAGGCAGTGGTCCTGAAGGATCCCCTTCACAATAACAATGCGAGATGTTAACTGACCCACTGCGGTCACCATTACGCAGTGGGCGTAACTCAAACCCCCATGCCACACACCTTCAACTCACACAGTGATGGGTGTCGATTGCTTATCAACAAAACTGGGGGAAATGCTGTCCTGGTTGCTGTGGCTCAGTGGATTGAGCACTGGTCTGTGAACCAGGGGGTCGCTGGTTCGATTCCCAGTCAGGGCACATGCCTGGGTTGCAGGCCAGGTTCCAAATAAGGGGCGTACAAGAGGCAACCACACATTGATGTTTCTCTCCCTCTCTTTCTCCCTCCCTTCTCCTCTGTCTAAAAGTAAATAAATGAAATCCTTAAAAAAAATTTTAAAAAAAGAATGAGAGAAAGGCACAGTTGTCCTCATTTTACAGATGGAAGATTGAGGCCCTGTGAAGTTAAGTAACTTTCTCGTGACCCAGGCGGTGAGGCCACACCCCCAGCCGAAGCCCTTCCCTCCATCCAGTACTCTCCTAATACTTCAAACAAGCAATAGTCCCTGTACAGAAAAAAGGCTGGAAGGAAATTCAGAAAATAGAGCAAAATCTTCTCTCTGGTCATACTGAAAGCCCCCTAAAACGGATCATTAATTCTTGTCTGCCCACGAGTCACCCCGAGTCTAGAACAAAGCCCAGAACTAAATGAGTACTTTTTATGAGTGAATCTTTAGGTGATGGAATTGAGGTGACTTTTATGTCTTCATTGTAGATTTTTATATTCCCCTAATTTTTCTCCAAAAGCACGGATCTTATTTATAATAAAAAATAGAACATTGTTAAAAAGAATGATTAATCACACCCATAAAACAAATAAACAGTGGTTCCAGTCAAGAAGCCCTTGTAAACCATAAGGGTTCCCAGAGGCTGAACCTGACTGCAAGGGGGCTGGGTGTGCCCGGGCCTGTCTGGGGTGTGAGGCACGAGAAAGCCCCAGGTCGGAGCTGTGGATGCTCAAGAGGGGACTCAAACAGTGTGTGCTGGAAAGGCGACAGCCAAGGACATTTGGGACAAAGACCACTGGTGGGGTCTGCTGCACCTACCGACATTGGAGACCCTGTCCCTGGGCCCAAAACGGTTCTGAGAACCTTCTGGGTGTTTTATAAAGACTCTTGTGGTATGAAGAAACAAGAGAACTAAAATCTGTGGCCAGAGTTTCTTTCTCGCTTAAGAGGAATCAGTTGACTCTTGGTTTGCATGCACATTACTAGCCCTTTGCAGTGACTCTGCATGGGGTCGGGGAAGAAGAAACCGCCCTGGGAGGCCCCTGTTGTGGGTTCTATTCCAGCCTCTGCTACAGTAGAGCCTGCCCCATGGAGTTGTGGGGGGAACTAAACATGATTGTGCGTGGGCAGTGCCCGGCCTGGGGCAAGCAGAGAGAGAGGAAAGAGGAGACAGGGAGAGGCGAGAGGGAGAGGGAGACTTATGGAACTGGATTTCTCGTGATCGTGAAGGATGACCATCAGGAAGAGGGGGAGTCGCGGTCAAGTCCTAAGGCCACCTGGTCGTCTGCTGGTAGAAGTCCCTCTTGTTGCGGGGAGGTTGGTCTTCGTTCTATTAAGACCTCAACTGATTGGAGGAGGCCCACCCACTCTGTGGAGGACAATCAACTTTACCTACCAATTTAGATGTTAGTCTTCTCCAAGAACACCCTCACAGAAAGATCCGGAATAATATTTGGCCACACACGTGGCCACCAAGGCCCAGCAAAACTGACACATGAAATTAAGTCATCGGAGGTGGGAAAGAGGGCAGAGCACCACCTGTTTGGGGGTGCTGGGCTCGGTTCGTAGAGCGGAGGTCTCGGACCTCGGTTCATAGATACCTTGCCTGTGCACCCAGTCTCGGAGTCAAAAGGCAGTGAAATGCGCTCTCATGCACTTCTCGCGAATGGTAACTCATCTCACCTTCAACTCCACTGCCAGGGTCAGGAGTTCGCTACCCGGCCTCCGTGGAGACGCCAAGTGTGTGAAATGGCACAGCTCACCGTGGCCCCTTGGCACACGGCCTTGGGTACGCCGGCAGACCTGAGCTGGGCGCCTACTGCTTCTCAGTCTTTTTCTTAATGTGCCAATCACCTTGTTTCACAGGACAGGGCCCACCTCCCTGTAGCAGGCAGGACATTAGGCTGCTAACATTCTCTGTGGACATACTTTCAGCATGTGGGACGTTAGGACAGGGCACTCGCTGAGAGTGCCTTTTAGCGTGAGGGACACTAGACCCAGGTAACCCTCCCTGAACACCCTCTATGCCAAGGGGCACGCAGCCCTCGGCCCCCTCCATGAGCACCATCCCTCTGGCTGTCGCCGTGGTGCTGCCGGCTGTGATGAGCGGGCGGCCACGCCCGAGCCCAAGCACACTCTCCAGGCCTCCCTCCGGCCAGCTCTGCGCCGACACCACTTCCTCCGTGTTTCTGGAACAGCCCTTGTGGCCGTTCTCTGAGCTTAGCACCTCTGCAGCGCTGCTTCTGCAGGCCACTCCTGCGGTCTGTCCCCCGGCCTCTCCTCCCTCAGCGTCGCACCGAAAAGTGCGGATGCAAACAGCCAACTCTGTCCTTGGGCACTTGTTCTTTTTAAATGAATGAAATATCAAGCCCTGAGGTGATTACTCTCGTGATAAGTGGGGTTCCTTCAGGGCCACTTCATCCCCAGAAAAGAAAATGCTGTGTCCCGTCCTGAACCCCACCGCAGCGGGACTTTGGGGTGGATTTCTGGCCCTGTTCTCTCTCACCCAGCTCGTTCACAGCCTGCGTTCTCAGCACTGAGCCTTGGCTCTCTACCTGAACAGTTTTATTTCACCCTCTGGCTCAGTCTGCTCTGGGTTGCTGCACTGCACTAGTGTCCCCGGGCAAGGTCCAACCTCTTGGGTGTCATCCTTGGGTCAGCCTGTTTGGCCAGGATCTTCTCCAGCTGTGCCCATGGCCTCTGGGTCTGACCGCTCTTGTCAAATGACCTGATGCTATCAGACCTCATGATCTCATGCGTCCAAGGCAAGTCATGGCCAGCCAGGTGGCACCGAAGTCCCAGCCTCCCCCTACACACACACGCACATGCACACGCACACGCACACGCACACACCATTCTGCACATGACCACCCTTCTGTCTCGTCCCTCCTCAGGATATCCATCTATGAACTCATTTTTTGAGCATGTAAAATGTGCCGGTCCTGTACTAAGCACTGAGGTTATAGCAGCGAACAGAGAGAAGGAGACACGTCCTCGTGGAGTTTACTTTCTTGGGCGGATGGGAAGACAGGGCGAAAAGCCACCCACCAATGTAAATGATGACCAAGCATGATGAACATTGTGAAAGACACGGTAAGGAGATGAGCACTAGTTTGGAAGGACCTACTGTGGCCTGGCCAGGGAAGGCCTCTTTGGGGGAGAGGGCGCACTTAGACTGAGGCTTAAAGAAGAGGGTGCTTCATCTGGCAAAGAATAGGAGGAAGAACATTTGAAGGGAAGGAAGACCAAGGGCAAGACAGGAAAGAGGGAGATGCAGGGAAAGAGCGAAGGAAGAAGAGAAAGTCAACGCGGGTGAGGCCTAAAGGGTGGGAGGGACAGAGACAGGGCAACACGGCAGGGACCGGAGGGCTCCGGGCCTCCACTGATGGATCGCCCTGCATCCGAGCGCAACAGGGAGTGGCAGGTGGGCTTCGGACAGGGAATGATGTCATCTGAGTTATGTTTTAAGAAGACCGTTCTGGCCTTTTGATGGAGTAGGAATTGGAGGGAGGCTCAAATGGAAACAGAGCAACGAGAACGCTGGGGCATGCCACCCAGGAAAGAGGCAGTGGTGTCCTGGTCCGGGAACGTGGTGGGAGAGATCACAAGAAGCGAACGCATCCCTGATACACCTTGCAGGCAGAACCCATAGGATGTGCTGTGGGAAGGATTTTACTTTTGGGCTTCAACTAATAAATATACCCCTCAGTATTTGAAAGCCGGACCCCTGAACGCGTCTTGTATGGGATGTGGTGGGCTGGTGGGGAGGCACGTGTGTTGGTAACAGAGATCAGCCGCACACCAGGGAGCTAAAGGAGGGTCCTGTTTGTAGGTGGTTCTCAGCTCTGAGTGGGGAGGGAGTGTTGGCCACACAGTGTGAGAGATGCTTTGGGGATGCACCAATCCCTGCCTTTTTCTTCTTGACTCCTAGCTGGGAAAAGAGCTAGAAAAGATCATCCTTGTTTTGAACCATTTCTGATATAGATGATGATAAAGACAATGGCCTTAATGGGTAGCATTCACTGGATACCAAAAATTTTACAAAGCATTGTCTTGAGCACCTCCTCTGTGTCTACTCACATGACAGCCCAGTGACACAGAGCTATGAGTTGTTAGAGGAAAGTGAAGCCCAGAGAGATGCCCTGAATCTCAGGGACATTCACCTAGTGAGGTGAAGGTGTAGCTGGGTCCCCAGCTGTGACTGGGAGCTGGAACTGGACACGTTCTGAAATCCTCTTTCCTGTGCTCCGTCCCTTTTGCCTCTTGCCTCCATGCTGTGTAACTGTCCTGTATGTGAGGTCCCCGATGCTGCATCCCCAGGAGCAGCTTCTGGCTGCCTTGGCGCATGGGTGGTCGCCATTCCCCAAGGGACAGGAGAGCAGCTGGAGTGACTGCATTGCCCTGGCGGGGGTTGTGGGGGGGAGCGGGAATTCTCAGTGCTTCTGTCCAAGTGAATGCTTTCGATCTGCAGCAATAGCTTCAGATTCTTGTCCTGATATTTAGTGACGGGCTGA